AAGTAACACATGCACTGACGCGCTTCACCGTGGCCGGGCCCGTTGGAGGCCACGCCGCGGCAGTCGTTGGGGCCCGCAACCGCCGGACGCCCCGCGTGAAGAGCGGGGGCGGGATGAAAAACAGTCTGCGTCCGCCACCTTCCAGCGCCTCCTCGCAGGGAGCAAACCACGAAACAGAGAGAAGGAACCAATGCATACAAAAAAAAGACCCGCCATTTACTTAGCCTCGTCGGGAGGCGGGTGCCGTCAACATTATCCCAAAAAGTTAAATACATAAAGAGGGCGCGGCGCAAGGAACAGACCACCCCAAAACGAGAAATTCAAAAGCGGGGGGCACGAGGGACGCCCCACCGGCGCCCGCACCTTCGCTGCCTGCGGCCCCACAAACGAGGCAGCCCGCAGCTACACGCGGGGACGAACAATTATCGTGGCATCCGAGTCATCCAGCTCTGAAGGCACTTTTTCAGTCGCAGACAAGGAGCCGTGCAGAAGGCTGTTCAGTGAACGAAGCTTATCAAGATGGCCACCTCCCCCACCACCGGCGTTGAGTATGTGGAACACACGGCTGTCGTGCAACGTCGAAACCGCTGTCAAACTACATTTACGAGAACCTTCAGCTGAGGGTGTACACCCACCTTTCTCCATCACATGGCTCACCTTCACCGCCAGCCGCTCCATCGCCACACGGCAGACCTCCTCCTCGCGCGCAGCTCTAACCGCACGCGGCACGTCAACCCTCCAACGCCCGCAGAGAGGGCGCAGCAACTTCAGCCGCTGAGGGGGAGCCAAAATCCCAAACACCACAGCCAACGGTGATACAATGGCAAGCGCGGGGCCGTCTAGTGCAGTAGACATGGAGGCAACGCCGCTGCTTGACGTATCATCGCCGCCCTCTTCAAGATCCGCCACCTCGCGGTCAAGCCGCAGCGCGGCGAAGGTGCGCCCGGGGACGGCGTCCAGCTGGTACATCTCCACCGGCCTCGGCACCCCGCGCAGCGCCACCGCGCCCAGCGCACTCACCTCCACCCGCTCCCGCTCAGCCGTGCTCAGCGACATGTACGCCGCACGCGTCAGCAGCACCCGCCCGCCGTTCCCCACGGCCTCCG